GGTTCTCTTACATATATATATATATCGCAGACGCCTGACCCATAAGCCGTTTGCCTTAAGGGCCAGGGTGCTAGAGTTCCCAAAAAGAAGCTCTTCCCGAGGGGGGGCAGATGAATCGGGGGCTTCCATTCCCTAAATGAATGCCTTTGTCTTAGGATGCCGCCGTCTCCGGTGGCCTCGAGATGCGCGGCGTCGCAAGCGCCGAGGATGCCGACTTCGATGCCCGCGTGGCGGCCATGAAGACCTGGAGACTTAGAGCACAAGGAACATTTCCTTCTGTACCCACCACCCAATCGGTACCACTAGTACTAACCTACAGAAGATGATCTCTGCCATCATCAGGTTTCTTCTCCGTCAAAAGTTGTCTCATATGGAAGGACGTAGAGGCTGCAGCCCGGAACTTGAGCAACGGAAAAAAGCCCGGAGACGTAGCGCCGAATCCCATTGGGCCGATTGAGGATGGGCGCCGAGCGCTTCAAGTACACCACTCGCCCCTACAAGGCCGGGGTAGACTTGAGCAGCTGGAGATCCCGGGACCCGAGAAGTCCCTACAGCAATTCTATGTAAGGCTGACAAGGCTTCAATGCTGCTTGATGGTATTCTCTTCTACCTTACTGGACACACCTACGCGAATATGGGCAGCAATGTGACGAATCGGATTTGCACGCAGACACACCAAAAGCAAGCACATGTGATTGGGGGGTTTTTGCACCTTGAATGCATGTATCTACATTGACACGATCTTGAACACCTGCTACTTGTAGATGCCACGGAGCTTCTTGGGTTGCAGGGGCGAGTGGCTGCTGTGTCCCCCGAATTTTCTGAAGCCCTCAGGTGGAGGACGTGGTGAAGCTCCAGGGCACCATGCCCATGTACTTCAACGGCGCCAAGATCTCTGACAAGCTTTACAAGATGCTCAGGGATCACCAGGCAGCAGTGACGTCACTGGATTCGGGTAGGCTCCACGCCTGTTTGCAAGCACCACAAAGCGATGATGCGTGCCAGTATAAACGAACATCGGCTAAATAATCGTCGTCGCAGCCGCTCATCATCGTGGAGCACTCTCTCCTTTGCGTCAGTGCCATAATATGAGCATAAACACCAGCCCTTTCTCCGGCTCTGCGCTTGCCGCTGTATGCAGAACCCCAAACTTACCTCATGTGAGTTCAGGCCAAGGGAACCTGCTCCCACACTTTCGGCGCCCTGGACACCGTGCAGGCACGAGGGAGGGAGGCGGTCTGATAAAATGCCAGTGTCATTGTCTTCACGGCTTTTCAATGTTGATCCGTTGTTGCTGCCGTGCCGTCTTGGATGGGCAGTGGAGTTCTGCCAGTTAGCTTCCCATGTGCAGAAGGGAGTTTTCGACACAGGGCGACAAGAGTAGCCATTGAAAGCCATCCAAGCAGAAGCACACCCCTCATCCAGCTTCATCACAGTGACTGTATTGAGGGCGGGGCGAAAGGCTGTGGCATGAAGGTTTACACGCGAAGGGCTGAAGGGATAGAATTTCGATAAGACGGCCCATAGTGGTGTTCCAAGACTGTGGACTAGAAAGCACCACGACTGCGACTGCAAACCCCTCAACCCTACATTGATGTTTCTCAGGTCACCCAGATGGCCAAGTACCTCACGTCGGTTTATGTCAGCGGCTGGCAGTGCTTCGTCTTGGTATGGAAGGACGAGCTTAAGACTTGGGGGCTGTGCGAGCCCTTGTAAATTCAGACAAAGCTCCAAGCCCTGGACCCCAAGCCCCAAGCCCTAAAACCCTAAACCACCCCAATCCTTGTACGCTGGCACCCAAGGGAGACAAGGGCAGTCTCCTGCCAGTGGTGCAAGAGCATGAACTTTATAAGGGATAGTAGTAAAACGGCGAGAAGCCATGGGGCCACACGTCAGACCTTGGTGTTTTTGCCCCCGTCCTTGGTTCGCCAAAGGGAGAGCTCTGTCTTTCCAATCTAGTTTTCTGTATCTCGGCCAATGCGGAAATGCTTGAACTTCCATAGGCACGGTACTTAGTACTTGAAGGAGAGTCCTTCTGAGGGCCCTACAGGATGTACCAGCAGTTTTTTCAGTAGGGTTCCTAGCGCAGTCTTGTCGATCAGGGCGCCCCGAGCCTCTGCATCCGAAGTACGCAAACGCAAACGATGCAGGGTTGTTGATGCTACTCGGCCTCTAGCAACATACCAAAACATTATCCTTATAGAAACCCTGCCTCAGACGCTCCTCCGCGGGACTAGTTGACCTCCCTCTTGACTACGGAACCCTGAGCATCCAACTTGTACGGCATTGCCGCCCCACTTCCAAAACCCCAAAGCCAGAAGCCCCAAATGCGACAAAACCTCCCTCAATGCATGGCACCCATTATTGCTCCAGCCTCTCGACCTGTGAGAGACAACAGCACGTTTTATTAAAGCAATGTGACAGTCTATGCATCGCGAAGCCCTCCTCAGCCCCCCACCTTGAAGCCAAAACCGAAAAGAGAATGTCTTGCGCCGGAAACCTGGTGTCCAACCAGTCTGTTAGCTTCGGCCCGTGCAAAGGTGCTCCTCCACGGCCTCCACTTCCAACGAGCCGGGTCCGGACGTGGCAGACTACCCTTACGACACCGTGCCCAACAAGGTCGAACTGTTTAGGGAGTGGGTGGCGGAATGTGGCGGATCCGTGTAGACAGTGGTTTTTGGAAGAGCTGCTGTGCTTGAAAGTCGGGCTTGAAGCAAGGCGTCCACTAGCTGCTGGACAGGTGGACCAGCTCTTCCGTGCCCAGCTTTTCCATGACCGCAAGCAGTGCCCTTGGCCGAGTTGGGTTCGTGGGCCAGTTGCGATAGTCCGAAATGCCCCGGTACTCCACATCCAAGAGATTAGGCACCCAGTTCAGCCGTGGCAGTTTAAGACCGCGCTGTCAGTTACATAGACTCGAACTCATCGCACCCGTGGCATGCACCAGTGGTAGGCCGCTTGGTGACAAGTTTCTGGTCCTACCGGACCTTTTTTCTGTTTGCAGCAGCTTTGCAGCACATCCTGCACATGGAGGTACGAGGAGCGCCGACGCATGTCGCCTGATGATCGCGCAAAGCCGACTGTTGTGGTGCCTTGGTGTGCAGCCAGGGGGGGATCGACGAAACCCTTGTCCGGGTGCCTGGAGCATCAAATGCGGTTAAGAACGACGGAGCTATTTACGGATGTGCTCCAAGCCTGCGTCAGCTTGTGCATGCACATGTGTGAAACGGTATCACAGTTGCCAGAGCACCAGCTAAGGACTACATGAACCCCATCATCGCCGATGCAGACACCGGCCATGGTGGCATCACCGCAACGATGAAGCTGGCAAAGATGTTCATCGAGAATGGTGCCGCCGGAATTCACATCGAGGATGGCCCCTTGAGCATTTCTATGCGTGTCGGGTCTTTCCGCTCCCCAAGATGACGCGTTATTGTACGATGTAGACAAGAAGCTGGAAATGGGAAGTGGAGCAAAGAAGGGGAGCCCGAATCGAAGTGTGACTAGCACGCGCAGCATGCCCCCCCACCCCCCCCCCCATCGAAAGGGGTGGAGGTAGCGTGCTGTTGTACCCCAAACCCTTTTCCATTTGTTCAGACCTTACGGTACCCTCAATCCGAAGCCCTAGCAAGATCACTCCAAAGCAAGCGCTGTAAGAAGAAGGGGGTTTCAGCCCTCTATCCTACTTGGCAGGACCAGAAGCCCGGCACCAAGAAGTGCGGCCACATGGGCGGAAAGGTCCTCGTCTCCACCCAGGAGCCGGCACCTGACCCGGGGCTCCTCAAGTCGGGAAGTGGCGGGAGCTTTTGGAGCTGTTTGAGAGGGTCTCGGGGCTCAGGGAGAGGGTCGCACTTTTTTTTTTTTCCGTGCTCGTGTTCGTTTGTCAGATGTGAAAGACGACGATCTCCAAAACTGCTGGGCTTCGCGGCTTTGGCTTCGCTTCTCTGGGGGCTCTATAGACGAGGCCGGTCGCTTTAACTTGATGGTGCAGTCCGTCGCAGGAGCACATCCAGCGCCTCATCGCGATCCGCCTGCAGGTGCGATTGGTGCAGTGTTGTGTGCGTCGCATTGGAAGTCTGCTACATTTTTTTTTGCTGCACTCATTCCGAAACAGACAACAGCAAAGACACCCTCATGTTGAACAACAGTAGCAATGTATGATGTTTACGAATCAGAGAAGTACCCGTTACGCCATTACGCGAGCCCATAGCCTCGAACAAGCCGTGGTCGTTTCGGTCATATTCTCGGCTGACGTTTTGGAGCATATCCAAAAGAAGCCGGGGTGCTCAAAGGGGGGCGGTTTAGAGTCTGCAATTCCTCAGAGATCTCTGGCGCTCTCATGCTTCTATTGGTTTCGCCCTCAGTCCCAACCCTTCCACCTCATCGAGACCCGAGCCTGGAAGCCTCGCATCGAACCAATTCGAGAGTTGCGAGAGCCCTAAGTAAGTTCCGAACCCCGAATCACAATGGTCGGAAGCCCGACCAGGCCGACGTGCTGAACTCGCCCTTGGTCATCGTGGCGCGCACCGATGCCGAGGCGGCCACAATGATCGACTCAAACATTGCAGCTCTGAGCAGTTTGGTAAGGCGCGTTTCCGAGGTCTCTGTGGACATTGACGAGTCCGATTATGAGGGGTCCGGCATTTGGAGCTTCAGGGCATGGTTCGGGTGGATTGCTTCTCACATGCACGAAATGGTTCCACAACATGACAACTAAGGATCCTATTGACCATCCCCACATCAAGGGTGCCACCGTCAAGGGTGTGGAGACCCTCTACGAGGCCATGCGCAAGGGCACCGACAAGGACTGGGAGCAGCGATCCGGCTGCATGACCTTCCCGGATGCCGTTGCCAAGGCCATGAAGGCCAAGGGCCAGGACCCGGCCAAGTTCTTGCAGGATTCCCGCAAGATGTCTATGGACCAGATGAAGAAGGCGGCTTCTGGCATGGGCTTGGACATCTACTTCGACTGGGATGCCGCCCG